CACATAAATTCTGCAAAATAACAAAAATTGATACTTAACACATAAATTTCAGAAGACAAGACCAAATACAGAAATAACTCAGAAGTAGCATACCTGCAGATCTTCTGGAAGTGCCTCTGAGACTGCAAGCGTATAACAACCAGGGACGAATCTTCCTGCAAAACATTCAATAGGATCACATATTCTGCTCATCAAAATTGTAATTTTCTTGCAGAGATATTTACTAAATTCCTAAATGTACAAAGTGCACGCATTACAAAATTCTAGGGGGAAGAAAAAGAAGGGACGATTCTAAACCTCTAGTTTTCTAAAATTATATTATCAATTTTCAATCTCATAAGGGTTCACGCAACATAGAAATCTAGGGAAGGGTGACCGTTGGATGGTACAAGGGGTCACAGAATACAAAAAACTGGGCAGAAATAGGGGATTAATCCATCCAGGTTAAATGTGACTTGGAAAACTTCAGCGTGATCTGTTTCATTAAAGTGTCAGGGTACAACCAATGAGGGGAAGTTAACTCTCCTCTCTTCCTCGCTAGGAGATCCCTTCTCCTCCTGGTATTTCTTTTTAAGTTAACGAATTGTTTCTTCACAAATAATAATATAAAATTTATAACGATAAATACTGAACCATCAATTAATCAGAAGCTAGGAAGCATGGATACTAGTCGGGGGGTCGCCGTGGCAATGTCGGACACCTGTCCGACGGTCGGATACGTGTCCAACACTTGTAGAAGTGTCCTGAATAGTGGCTGTCATTTTTTTTGGTTGGATACGTCTCGGATACGTAGGGGGATACTTGGGGGATACGACAGGGTACTTTTGTTATTTTAAAAACTTAGGTGGATCGAAACGTAAAAAAAAAAAAAAAAGGCTAAAATTACGTCGTTTTGGCTTGAAAAAGAAAAAACTATAGTGTCGTTGATCTGTGAACCGACTTCAATCGACATTCGGTGTGTTCGACAGAAAGAGAGAGAGAGAGAGAGAGAGAGAGAGAGAGAGAGAGAGAGAGAGAGGGGAGAGAAGACGAGCAGCTCGAAAGGACCAGAGGAGGAGAAGAAGAAGGAGAGGGAAGAGGAAGGGCGACTCACCTGCGCCTATGATCGCGCTCTGCTATTGCGATCTTCTTCTTGCTTCTATTTTTTTTTTTTTCAGATCTACTACTACTCTTACCTCTTCATCTTCTAGTCTGTGTGGAGTGTGGACTTTCAAAAAATTTGATTAGGTTAATTTGATTGGGGATTTTTAGGGTTTTCAAAATTTGGGGATTTTGTTTTGGTCCAGTGTTGTGTTGCTTGCTGCCTTTGGGATTTTTTTTTGTCTTGGTCATCTGTGTTGCTGCCTTTCTGTGCTAGTGTGCTGCTACCAACTGGTTTTAAATACTGAAAATTGCTTTCCTAACTTGCTGCCTTTTGGTGCAGTGTTGTTTGCTGCCCACTAGTCTTCTCTTTTTTGTTGTGCTTCGGTCTTCTTTTTTTTTTGTTATGCTTTCCTAGCTAGCTTTTTTTTTAGTCATCTGTGTTGCTGCCTTCTGTGCTAGTGTGCTGCTGCCTGCTGGTTTTGAAAATTATATATATTTTTTGAATTTTGATCTATTTCAATTTAAGTAATGTTTGTTATTTCTTGTTTGTTATTATTAATGTTGTTGTTATATATATAAAAATATATATAATTATTTTAATTAGCCGTATCCTCACCGTACCCGTATCCTACATTTTGGGATTTTGCCGTATCGCCATGTCCATATCGTATCGGATACGTCACCTGTGTCTATATCCGTGCTTCTTAGATCAGAAGTGAGACAAATTTAATTCTTTTGGAGTCATGGAGCATGACTCCAAAAGGTTATTCTTCAAGAAGGTCGAACCTTTTGATACCCTCTGTACTACATAAAAAGTACACTATGCTGAAAAACTTTTGTTTTACTATTATAACCCTAACTAATCCTATAACCTCAATTTGGTCCATCATAAATTACTGTTTATTTCTAATTATAGCCCATAGGCGGTACCCATTCTTCACAACACCATTTCATCTACCATGGTTCTGTTCACAGACAGATAACAAAAAGTCAATTTGGTTCCAGCAAAGGAAGCATTCCTTTATCTCCTTTTTGCCAGGCCATTTCATAGGCCTTCTTGAACGGCAACAATAGAGCAGCAGGAGGTAGACTCTCCAGGTAGCCTTCTTACAAGCTTCACACGCTTCTATCACCTCTTCTTCTTTTTTAGTGGTGGAGTCTTTTCTTCTTCATCATCATAAGCCAATGATGATGATGTCTCACCGCTTCTTACTAAGGAAACCCATATGGGCATGTCGTGAAGATACCATTTTTGTGATTGCAAGGGAATTTGTCGGAAGGTAATGGTTTTGGACAAAGTGGCCGGTAATATGAAGTGATTGGGAATGGGAGGTGAAACTGTCCAAACCCAATTTCAAAGGCATTTGTACCCAAATTATATCCACCTAAAACCCTCAAGAAAATAAGGTAGTATATCCAAACATCTTTATCCACTGTCCAATTTAAACAGTTCTGTGTGTGTGTTGTGAACGGTGTTCATGTTGTATACATGTTTCCTTGGTGGTTCTGCATTTCTCTTTCTATTCTAGAACATAGTCCTTTTACTATTTGATTATTTGTTTCTCTGCAACACCTATAGGGTCTATACTTAAGAATAATAACACATACAGAAGAACCAGGTTAACTGTTTTGTCAATAGTTTAGCCATTTAGGAAACCCCAGTTCCTGAAATTGCATGATATTAGATTCATATAATTTCCTCAAACTACATAAAAGTCAATTTGTAGGACAAGTTTTAATTCTTACTCATAAGTTTTTTATTTCTTTTAATTTGAAGTTGAATTCACACACCACTAAAAACCAATTTTTTAATGAATAATGGTTTTAGTAATCAATTCCAGGGTAAGGCCAAACACCAGAGTCTATGATATGGTTATTGCTACCCAAATTCTTTTCCACATTTTTCTTGCTGCCTTTATTATTTATCCATTTAACATCCAGCCACAGGTTGCAAGAAAAGCAGACTAATGTGAGTGGTGGCTCCCATGCTAGCGAGTTCCTCCAAAAGAGTTGTCAAAGGTTGCAGCCAATAGCTATCAAATAGCAATGTGCTTGCCAAAATGGAGCTTCCAGTTCTTATTTAGAAACTTTGCCCAAGGTATAGGTTTCACTAATGTGTCTGCTAATGCTAAAATATAGCATAGAACATGTTACTCTATTTGATGGCATACATGTATATCTGCATTCCCTAAATTTGTTTCTGCGTTATACTTTGAATAAGAATAATTTCATAGTATCGAATGTGGGTTCCTGATGGTCATCACTTTTGTTTCAAGGATGTAATTTAACTTTTAGCTTAGTTGTTTAATTTTTAGTTTAATTTAAATCAAATTTGTTTCTGTGTTTGCTGGATTCTGAACTCATCCAGCCTGTAGATCACTATGCATGGAAGTAAATATGGAAGGAAAATTCAGATCGCTTGCATCAAATATGGCTCCGCCGCTGGTCACAACTTTACTAGACATCTGAATGAACGCAAGCGAGTACAATTGCGTGAAGCAGAGGGTAGGTATAATTTGCATGTCAATCTCAATACTGAGTATTGTTTAATAGTACTAACTACATATTAATTTCCAACACACTATTGGTCTCATCAATAAGTTTAGGTATGCAACTTCAAAGCACAGATCTTTAGCATTAACTAGTCCTAACCTATAAGTTGTTTATCTATCAACTGATAGTGCCTAGAACTCTATTTTAGGCCATTAGGTTGTCATTGGCACACAAAATTGGGACTTTCCATTAGACTTGGGTTACCATATTCCAATTCAACATTTGGAAGTGCTTGAAAATTCGCCCTAATACATTATTCCCCTTATCTCTAACATGAACCACACTTCAACTCTACATCCAAACAACACCATCTTCAAAACATCCCTTACTCCTCACTCAAACAATGCCAACCTTGCACCACAAATCGCCAACCTTCTTCTTCATTTCCATTGCTCTCCCACTTAAACACGTCAACCGTAGCAATGTTGAGAAGCCCCCAATCTCTTCTTAAATCGATCTCTCTCTCTTTTTATTTCTCTTTCCTTTCTGAATAAGATCACCCTCTCCCCCTCCCTCTCCCTCTCGTTCGAACCTTCTTCTTACCTACTCTCTTTCGATCTTGTCAGCCCCTTCTCTCTCAGATTCGATTTTTTTTGTCCCTTCAAATCTCAAATTTGCTTCTGACCGTCTGATGGAGCAAAGATATGAGAGAAACATGTATTCCATATCTCATCTCATCTCATCTCTTTCTCCTCCTCCCCCTGGGCGTAAGGGGCTCTCTTTTCCTCTAGCACCTCGTCATAAGCCAAAGAAACTCTAATTTGGTTGCATGGTTATTTGCTGCATTTTGAAGATAAGCAATTTCAATACCTAGTTTTTAGAAAGAGCGAGGATATAGTTTGTGTTTGAGTATTGCGAATGCAGCGTGTCGAGGCAACGGTCAATTCAAGAGCAGTTCAAGACAAGTAAACCTCAATTTCTTTCAGTATTGGTAGTACCATTGTAAGTCTTTTGAGTCAATCAAATAGTGGCCTTGTAGGCCCGACTATGTCCCATGATTTTTTTCCCATTTGAGTTTTCACATAAAAATTGTTTATTTGGACTTGTGTATTGGATATTAGTGGTCGTTTCAAATGCAAAAGGTGAAATATATATTTAACATACTAAGCCTTGATCGGTTGAACAATCTTGATTATCATTGGACGCAAATCATTATCTTTGACTTTATCACTCAAATACTTGGTAAATGTCATGATTCTTGCTATATTTCTGAGAGGATTGTGAATAAGGTTTGATTTGCTTTTAATAGTCCAAGTTGTTTTTTAGAATACCTATTCACCCCCAATAAGTCTATCCATGGGGTTGTTCGACATTAGTCCTAGGTTTTTCAACTTTGTTCAGTAAATTATACATTATGAAGTTTACTATGGTGTCTTAAATAGTTCATTGTCTAATGCCATAACTTCCTTGATGGAAAGCTTAAGTTGACGTGACTTAGATTCTGCAATGAGGATCATCAACAAATATTCCACACATTCTGGCTTCAAACAGTCGAAAATCAAAAGAAGAAAAGAGAACTATTTTGCCTAACATTTGGAACATTCACTAGAACGTTGCATGTCAAAGGAGGAAGAAAAGAACAGTGCCACCTTGCAATATTTGGTCAATATGTCCATTATGCATGACATATTGAAATGTAGAATTCACTCATAGTTTTCAACAACCTAATAGAAACAGCACTGCAAGTAAAAGAATTAAGAGCAAAATTGCAGAATCAATATGGTTGCACTGGTTCAATAGCTAAAAGTAACATTAATGGATGATTCTCCTAGAAGTTGATAAGCCGGATGTTCCCGGAATTTTCAAAGAATGTATAAACATGGATGTAACAAAAAGTAGTTGCAAATACCGATTCTAAGCCACCTAGCAGCCCAACTCCTGCTTGGATCCATGACTGAGATAATCCTATAAAACAATCACACAGGAAATGCATCAAGTAAGATGAAGTGGTGCAGCCAGCAACAACAGCAACACAATCAAATACGAGTAATAACAAGTAAAAGCAGTAATGCAATAGAACCAATTCTGGATTCTTTTCTCTTTGTTAAACAAAGAAGCCTCCCACCAATTCTGGAACATAATAATCGAATGTCAAAACATGCTAAAAAGTTAAAATCAATAACATACGAAGAATATTACCCTGTGAAATTAGGAGTTGTGCAATCAACAACACGCTCATGATCTTCGTCCATCTTAAAGAAGGCACAGTTCTCGCATCCTGATTCCCTAAACTGCATTTTTTTCGTATATGTAAAGTCAATAACAGCATCTTCACCACCACATAAAACCCAAACTCAATAAAATAATGAACAATAACTAAAGTGATATAGATGAAAATCAACTATTAAGCCACATTTTAAGTAAACATAAATAAAGAAATATCCCAAATATCAAATTTCCGAATTGATCGATCCACCAAAAATCTATACAGGAATTACAGAATTTTCAAAAAAAAAATAAAAAATCCAGCGTTGACAAGCTAGAACCCTAGTAGCCCTAGAAATAGGATCAGATCAAGTTTATCGGGAAAGAGGGAGAGAGAGAGAGGTGAAAATAATTAACCTGATCGTAGGTTTTGACAAGGCGGCAGCGAAGGCATGCCCTCAGTTCCTGCCCAAAGCTCGTGGGTATCTGTGCCGCTGCGCTTCCCATCGCTATTCTCTTTCTCTCCCGTGCTTTCTCGGTGCCCTCAGTGGGAGAATCTATGCCTGTATTTTACCCTAGGAATTTATTTTTCTAATCATTCTGCTCTGGATAATTATATGTACAACACTACATTAGTTTGCATGTTCTAAAAAATCTTTTTGTATGAATTAGGACTCATTGTTTGGACCATAGTTAAATTAACGATAAATATAATAATTATATAATTAAGTTAAATTTTTAAGTAATGTAACAGTTACATCATCAAGTCAAGTTTTTAAATTTTAAGTAATATAACAATTTAGTTCATTTAATTGTCATTAATGCTTCGATTGAAATGATAAAAAAATGGAAAGATAAAAAATTTGAATGATGAAAAGTTAGAGAAATAAATAAAACATTATATTTGGTAAGGAAAGAAAATATGAATGATGAATTAACTTTTTTTCCAGTTCACTAAAATCAATCCCTTCAAAATCCAAAGAAAAGTGAATGAAAAGTAAATTATTTGTGTTGAGATGTATCTTATTTGTCTATATATTATGTATACATTAATTTCATATAAAAATATAATGATAAATATGTATGTGTATATATATATATATATATATATATATATATATATATATATATATATATATATATATATATATATATATATATATATATATAATTTAAAAGAAAATTAAAAATAAAAATTCAAAAATTAAAAAATCAAATCAAAAATTTAAATTAAAAAAAAATTTCATCTTAACTAGGAGTGAAAATTTTCGACTCAACATGATGACAAGATTAGAACTCGACACAAATTTTATGACATGAACTTGATTATAACTCGACACGAATTTAATTATAACTCGACACAAATTTGAAAATGATATGACACGCGAACAAGAAATTTAAAAAACTCATAATTTTATAACTCAACACGAATCTGACACGACACAATTTGATTGTCACACCTAATCTTAGCTAGACCAAAAAAAAATTTTAAAAAAATTTAGTCATTTTTATTTTTTATTTATCCAACCAAACACAAAGGAAGGAAAATGTATCATTTCTATTTTTCATCCTTAAAGAATAGCAAGTGTATCCCTCCTACTTTTCATCTTTCTTACTTTCCATCATTCCTACTAAACAGAGCATAATACTTGACCCATCTCTCTTTCCTCTTTGTTTCCCTTGTGTATCCAAGTTCATACATTTATCTTCCACCAATTATTCCTCTACTACCTATTGGTCATGACTCAACTTTGATTTTACACTCCTACTAGGAATCCATGAATCATCGTCGCTATAAATCCGGTCCATGTTTTACACAAAAGTCTCTTTCTGTTTGTCATAACCCCCCAATACATGCAGCATCCGTTAAGTTTCAATTACCTAATCGACACAGTTGACATAAGACATCAGTTGGATGACTTCCTTATGCATGTGATTAGTTTGATTTGTTGGCCTTTCATTATCATTACGATTTGGAGTTGTATGGAAGCTGACTTTACTTTATTGGGATGTCTTTGTATTTGACTTGTTTTTCTTGGAAATTCATATTTTAAGGGTGTTTAATGAAAGTCAGCTTAGCACCACCAGCTGATCACATTCATTAGAAGGGAGTGACAAAGCATGTGAAGACCAACACACGCATACACTCAATCAATCAGTTTGAACAATTTGTTAGATATTCAGTTTGTGCCAGTTGTAGTAGTGTAACAAATCATATTTCATCACATGTATTTATTTAGTTACAATTAGTTGGAGAGAGATTGTTTTATGTATAAATACAATAGAGGTGAGATTCTAATTTTAATAATGAAATGCATTTTCCTGAATAGCTTTCCAGCTACGAATTCTCTCTGTCTTTGTTTTTCCTTTCTTCTTATTCTCTTCTACTTCTTATGCTCTCTATTATCTTCTACAAATAGTTGAAGTTTTGTGTTTCATTCATGGTATCAGAACCATTATAGAGACTAACATGTTGACAATGACAACAAATACTCCTTCAGCCATATCTTCAAACTCTTCGGTTAACAGCTCTTCTTCTCTGATTTTTCTGTTGTCAAACATATGCAACTTGATATCCATTAGATTCGATTCAACCAATTTTGTATCTTGGAAATTCCAGAATTCTTCCATTCTTCTAGCTCACTCTTATGGAATATGTCGATGGTTCAAATCCATGTCCAGGAAAGTATGTTAGAGATGAATTTGGTGGATTAACTTCTGAAATTACTCCTAATTACCAAATTTGGACTACTCAAGATCAAGCTCTCATGTCTTTAATCAATATTACTTTGTCAACCTCTGCAATTTCAACTGTCGTTGGATATACAACCTCAAGTGATGTTTGGCTTGCTCTAGAATGAAAGTATTCATCACTCTCTAGATCTAACATTCTTCAACTCAATTAACATCCAGACTATTACAAAGGGAACATATTCTGTTGATGTCTATATACAAAAGTGTAAGGGGTAAAAATTAAGGATACCTCCAACAAGAATAAAAATTGAACATTTCTGATAAAAGTGAGTTTTGAACTTGATCTCCCAATCTTTGCTTCCTGCAAAACAAACAACTGCCCAAGATCGAAGTGCTTCGATCGAAGGCACTCCGATGCTTAAGTCAGTAATAGAATTGAGACAATTGCAAGAAGACAAGGAGAGTTCAGCGTACCTTTTACCATTACTCCTTGTTCATTTTATAGACCTTTATTTAGCTAGGGTTTTCATGATTTTTGTCTCAAGATGGCACACCTTCCTTCCATTTAGTGATTCAGTTGGGGAAGCTGCTGAAAGCTCTCTGGCAGTTTACTTGGCCTAGAATCAAGCTCATTAGCTTATCTTGGATGCCTAAGTTATAGGCGAATCTTTATCTTTCTATCTACTATTTGAAACAACTCGGTCATGACGAGCATCGAGCTCTTTCATTACTCCCTGACTCCTTGGACAACTCGGTTTGGTAAGAGCTGAGCTCTTTCTTTGCTTGCTGAGCTTATTGACTAGTTCGACTAGGCCTATTTGACTCAGTGACTCATGCCTCTTTCATGTGCCCTGTCTTATCATTCTCACGTGAGCTCATTTAATGTCATAACATGTGTAATAAAAGGGGAGCCACCCCCTTAAAAAAGATTAACGAGATTTGTGATAAACTTGCAATAGCCTCTATTATTCGATATGATGAGGACATTTTGATTTGTACACTTAATGGACTGCCTAAAGAATGCAATGCTTTTAGGACTTCAATAAGAACAAATATCTCGCACATTAAATCTTGAAGATCTCCATGTTTTTTACTTAAGGCTAAAGAAAATTCCATAGAAATAACCTCTACTCAAAATTCTAGTCTCTTTGTAGCAACTTCAATGGTTGCTTCGAACAATTATGGTAGAGGATCCAATCGAGGAAGTGGAAATTCATCAAGAGGCAGAGGTTATAATCAAAACAATGGCAGAGGACATTATAATTCTGCTAGAGGAAATTCTAATTCCAGAAGAGAATATTATAATCAAAATCTCTCGTTCTTAAGTTCTCCTCCAAATCAAAGGCCTTATCAAGCTCCAAGATCATCCAATAATCCACCAAAGATCATCTGTCAGATCTGCAGTAAGTCTGGACATAATGCACTAGATTGCTACAAATCGTATACATTATGCATATCAGGGAAAACAACCTTAAAAAATGATGTGACTGAATACTCCATATTTGGGACGTCGTTTTGGCTCTGTGAATTTAAACTTTTGCCGCTACATTTACCCTATTTAGCTATTATACCGCCATTGGTTATGAAGCAGGGATTGAGGCTAAAGTTCCATTGTAGTCATTTGGTTTATCCTTCATCTTTTTAGGTCTACAAAAAATGGCTGGCATGCGATTTGTCCATATATTTTAATAATTATTTCGGCTTGTTCTATGAGCCTATATAATCCATCCTTAAACTATTGCTTTGTCATTATTCTGATGGATAAACTGGCTTAGTAGTAACCTTGTTCGTGCATGGAAGGCCCCACCCCTGATTGGATATCATGGGTTGCTTGTGTTAAGGCAGTCAAGGGTACTTTATGGCGTCACCTCATCTCTAACTCATTTCTTATCTGACCTTGAAAAAAAAGATAGCAAGTTCTATGTACAAGTTAGTATTTATGATGCCATCAAGCTTAGCATTATCACGATGCCTATCGACAAGTCATTGCTTAGCTTCGTTCTCTTACTTTGGACTGTGGCGAATAATGCCTTTCACTTCTATTTTGGCATGATGGTCCCTGCGGTCTACGATATGTCTGCTCTTATTGGCCTTCCTTCATTCAGGGCCAAGACTAACGCTCTGCTTAAACTTACTGAATCAAGCTATATATTTTCACTTAACGTGCATAACAAGCCAATCATTGCCTATTCTTTTTTCCCTGTAGCCTTTCACGACTGTGGTGGCTTTCTAGTGTCAAATCAAGAACATATTTCGTTCTTTCTTTATTAGCTTAACTAGTTCTTTTTCTACACTCTGTCTTACAAAGTGACCAAGGAGTATATTTTGTTGACCGACTATCTGGCCTTGGGAGTTTCCTATGCCCTTGCTCCTGACTTGCTCATCACCTCTATTGCGGGATAGTGGAGATGGTGACATCGAAGATGCAAAAGGGTCCAGGTCTCCTCTAGGACCTTCAATTATGGCTTCATGCTTTTTTCCTGAAGCTCTTTATCCCGCATGACAATAACATTTTTTTTCTTATGGTCCCCTCTTTGCCAAGGCCCCTTCTCAAGAATAATCATTCGCCAACTACTTTTCTTATTTGTATAACTTGAATGGATTGCGGCCCATTTGGATGCCGTTTGCCTGGAATTGAGGTCCCAAATGGTTCCTATATAAGCCATGGCAATCCCCTACTAACGCCTTTAATTCGCACGAGGATGCCTGATTTTCCTATCTTCACCCTTGAAACTTGCATTACCACCTAGGGCTGACTTATGGTGCCAATGCTTATTGTGGCGTCAAGGTTTACATGCCTCAGCAGTTCACCA